AACCATTAAACGTTGCCACACAAGAGAGGGGGAACATCTTTCTCCTTATTTTTAGACTTGTAAATTAATAATCAATATGGCTGAAAACGAGGGAGGTGCGGAGGAGCAGGATTATGAGGAGGAGGATGCTGCGATGGCCGCCATGGATGAGGGCGGCATGGAGGAGGGCATTGAGGATGATTTATTCTCGCGCCTGGGGGAATCCTCCGATGATCCGGAACAGAAGCGTATGTATATGGAGTATTTAGCATTGATCAAGGAGATCGACTGCCAAAACAGGATAATACAGGACATTAAGACACAGGTAATGGACATGTGCGGCAAGCCGTGCAAGACACGTAACGAGCTGCGCGAAATCAAGCGCCTGCGCATCTGCATGGAGCAGGAGAACATCAAGCTGCACACCATGATGAACCGGGCGGTGCAGCTGCAGAACTTTGGATCGCATCGCCATTATCGCGAATTGAATTTGACCACCACCGTCGACGAGGATAACATATCGCCATATTGTGTGGGACCCTGTGGCACTACTCTAGGCAGTGGCGCCACCGCCACAGATTGCAGCGAGGAGGCTCCCTCCAGCTGCTGCCAAGTGGAGGGCCAGGAGGATCGCCTCATTAAGGCGCTAAACAAGGCCATGCAGAAAATGAAGGGCGCCTGCCCGGAGGACATGAAAATGATGCAGGAAATCGCCTGCGCCATTATGGCCTCCAAGTCCAAGCCAAAGCAAATCTGCAATCCGGGACCGTGCGCGAAAACGCCTTCGCCGTGCGCCGAGAGCAGCAGCAGCATTGCTGGACCTTGTCCGCCGTGTCCGCCGCCCTCGTGTCGGCCATCGAAACGATCGCGTCCACATCCGGAGCCATGCTGCCCACCGCCATGCCCGCCGCCCTGCTCGCCGCCTTGTCCGCCGCCATGCAGTAAAAGCGAATCGCTGGACAAGCTGAAGCGTCGCATTGTGGGCATGCAGTGCTCCGTGAAGAAGCTGCTCAACGAGGTTAGTCGGCGCGAGACGCAGGAGCCCGCTTCGTGCCCCTATGACGATGATGATGATGATGACGACGATGATGATCAATGCGGTTCACCCTGCCCCTCGCGGCCATGTCCCGAGGATCCCGATCCGCTGGTCATTTGCGGCGGCAAACGCAACACCAAAGCAGATATGTACGAGAAAATGAAGGAAAACTACGCCCGACTACTCACCCAGTTCCAGCGCAAGGATTGCCAGATGAAGGAGCTGGAGAAAAGGTATTGGAGTCTGATCCTTAACTCAAAAACTCTTCAATTAACTTTCCTCTCCTTTCCTTAACTTAGAATGAAGGGCTTCATTGGCGGCTGTGGCCCGTCCAAAGGGACTTCGGATGCAGATGCTGCGGAACTGAATCTGCTGCGCGCACGCGTCAACGAACTGAAGGAGGAGCAGCTGGAGTTCAAGTGCATTATGAAGGAGCAGTCGCAGCAGTTGGAGGATTATCGCAACAAGTACATGCTGGCGCAGCAGAAGGTCGAGGAGCAGTGCGTGTCCCTGGACAAGTTGAACATGAACAACAAGCGCATCGAGCAGCAGATCAACACGGAGGTGAAGGAGATACGCTCCAAGTTCCAGGAGAAGCTCAACGAGCTGCTCCACTTTCCCAAGCTGCTTGAGAACGAGCAGCTGAAGCTGGCGCAGGTGTGCAAGGAGAAGGATGATCTGCAGAGCAAGCTGGTGGTCGTCTGCAAAGAGCTCAAGTCCTGCAAGGTACAGCTGGAGAATCCCACACCAGATCTAAGTCCACAGCTGGCCCAGTGCCAGCTTGATCTAACACAAGCGCGCAATGAGATCGAAGAGCTGCTGCGCCAGCGAGATCTCTTCTGCGAACAGCTGAAGACCACACAGGACGATCTGGACACGCTGCGCACCGAGTCTGCCAAGATTATAGCTGGTACCAAGGAGCGCGCCGAAATGATCAAAGCCCAGCAGCAGGAACAAATTAATCGCCTTGAAAAGGAGCTCGCCCAATGCCGTGCCACAGCCTCTCTGTCGGTCAACGATCGCGAGGCTGTCATTCGCGAGATGCAGGGCCAGCTCAACACGCTCTCCTACAGCTTCGATGCGGCCCAGAAACAAATCAAAACGCTCCGCAATCACATTGCCTACGTCTCCAATGAGAACTGCTTCCCTGTCAAGTGTTAGCCGGCCCCAAGCCAAACAGTGTCCAAAATCCAAGCCAACAGTTGCCCCATCGTGGTTCAAGTTTTGTGTGTGTCAATGATCGCTGCCAGATGTCCAAATGGAATCCAATGTTTGTCTCTGAAATGTACAAAACGCAAGGATGTTGCTTCGGTTGCTTATTTTATCAAAATTTCTTACACCCACTTTCGGTTCACTATGAATCTTTTGTGGTTGTACAGGATTTAGTCGATTTCCTAAATTTTTCATACTTTTCTCAATAATAAAAAATCGGTGCAAACACAATTTCTTTTCACATTTCCCAATTGACGCGGTCGTCTTAATAGACCTACAGTATGAAAAGTATCTAAATATTTAAATCCTTGCACAATTAACGAGAAACAAGAATATTATTGGCACACCTGATTACCGTTGAACATTCACCTTACTATTTTTCAAATATTTTAGAATAGTTAGGGTCAAGCTCTAAAATGCTAAGTACGATAAAAATATCTTGGACAACAAATGAATCTCATTTTCCACCGATTGATCCTATAAGCTTTATGATATAGTTCTCTGATCCAGTTCATATGCTGATATAGATACTTTTTCGACTGCAATCTGAGCTCAGCTTTTGTAAAATTTGATTTGCTGCCGGCAGTACAAAGTTCAAACACAACCAGATCAGTAAACCATATCATATGACAAAGCTACACATAAACCGGTTAAAAAGGTTAAAAGCAAACTTTCTTTTTTTGGCGCTCAATAGGAAACACAAATACTTTATTGCTTTGATGTGGCATTTGAGGAATAACCGCTAATAGTTGTGAGGACGAGCGAGCACAAGTAGATGGCACAACAGGGCGCAATAATTTTTACAGCGATTTGACTGCCAGGCGCTTCATTTTGGGCGCATTCTTTTTGGCCTGACGCTTCTGTTCCTTGAGTTCCCAGCGGCGTTGCTTCTCGGGATCTTCCTCGGCGAGCACGCGCTCCTTCTCCTGTTTGCGCTTATCCTCGCGACGCTGAGCGGCTGCCTCGGCACGTGCGGCATGAGTGCTCTTCAGGAACTCCTCCTCGACGCGCAGACGATTCTTGTCCGCCTTAGCTTTGGCCTGCAAAAAAAGATAAAATGGTTAACAGGTTTCTTTCGACAAGATGGGGGTTAGATTATGGGATAGTTTACCTCCTTGGACATGCGATAGGTCTTCAAGCGTTCCATTAGATAAAAGATCAACAATAACAAGGGTTTAATGGTCTCCATTTCGGCATGTTTTGGCAGATTAAAACCGGCCAGCAACACGGGCCTTGTCTCCGGCTGCTTCAGCGTGCTGCCCTCCTCCTGCTGGACCTGGCCGCTGAATTGATCCGAGATGTGCAGGTAATCGATATAGCTTTGGTATTTGTTAAGTGCGGTAATAACACGTGACTCGAGTATGGCGGATGTGGCTTCCGGTATTTCCGAAAGGACGCCAAAGCCGCTGGGCACATTGTAGCGATCCTCCGGCTTGGCAACTAAACTACAAAACTTGGTCTGCAAAAGAAGTCAAAACTTAAAACTTCTAGCGCTCTTTGTAAGGCGAGCTAATCCCTTACCAAATCTGTGTACTCCTTGAACACCTTGGATATGGTCTTTTTGCTACCGACTGCAAATACGAATGAATCCATTAGGCCACGTGTCAATTCGATTTTGATGTGCGCCTGATCCAACTGGGGTCGCATCAGGCCAGCGACAAGCGACACCAAATCCTGTCGCTTTATCATTTTCAGCTCCACCAACATGCCCTCGCAGCAGGTGCGACCGGAGCACCAGAGGGTGTACAGGCTCTCGCTCTCCTTGATCAGACCCGGATTCTCGTTCTCAACCTTGCCATCGTCGCCGACCAGGGCAAAGTTCTCGTCGAGCAGTGCTTTGTGTGTGCTAAACCATAGCTGCGCCAAACGAGCGTTCTTTGTCTTGCCTGCGAAGAAGTTGGCAAAGTAGGCCAAGAGGCCGGCCACCATAAGCATTTCCATCCAATAGGAGTCCCAGTGAGTGCGGAAATGTAATGGTATATTCGGTATCTTCAGCTTGGGCTCGGTCTTCTGATCAATGGGCGGTTCCATGGTGTCGCCAGCGTCGTAGCCCTCAAACTCCTCTTCGTCCTGGAAATGCTCAAACTCGTCATCATTCTCAACGAGCCCGTCCTCCTCCTCGTCGCTGTTGACTGCGTATTTCTTGGGCACTTCTAAGCGTTCCCTGCTAAAGCTGTCTCCGCCCGCACCCCTGGATGAGTCGGCATTCTCAGCGGTCTCTGTGTCGTAACTAGCTTCCACAAAGTCATCGTCGAACTCCGCAAAATCATTGTCAGTTTCATCTTCGGCGTCGGGGCTAACGTTCGCGTTGTTCAGTTGACAGGCGCATAGAAGCGACAGCAACAGAAATGCAAACACTGGTCGCATTTTATGATATAAATATTCCAAAAAAAATAACGTAATTCAGCTAATATTAACCTAAATCTAAAACTTTTCACCTAATAAAAAAAGTAGGTTAAGTGGACAGAAAATATCGATATGACAATTTAATCGCGACTCGATAGTTAAAAAAACTATCAATTTAGAAATTACGGAATCGTTGAAGAACTGTTGGCAAACAGTTGAGTGTGTTGAACATAGAGTGAGAGCGCGTTATTTTAATTTTGAATAATGGCACAAATATATTTGTAAAATTGTTCAAATTAAATACGACGTGGCATATCGAATAGAACAAGGTACATAAAATTTTCCGTTCTGGCATTTTTGTAATGTGCTTTCCGTTTTTGTTTTCGTATTCACCTCTAAATATCGATAACAGTTGCCCGTAAATTCCGATAGCCCGAACGATAACCAACCTTTTAGCCGCCGCTACGAGGTAAACACGTTGCAAATTGCAATTTGTTGACTGTTAAAATTTATTTAGCTGAATATTAAGTTAACTTAAAGTCAGTTGGACAGGCGAACAGTGCAAAATGGTGAGTGACAAAATTTGAAATAATAACCGGCATAGCAAGTTTGCGGTATGTTGATTAAACAAACTCTGCAATTGCTAAAACCGCAAAACTGATGCAATATTTACTTAGAATGAGAATCAGAAACGAAATAATGCAAATTTTTATTCATGCATGACGCAAACAGGCGAATGTGGAGCGTAAAGGCACCTTCAAGGTGGAATACCTGCAGAAAATCGAGCTCGAAGTGCAACAGCGCTGGGAGGCGGAGCGCGTGCACGAAACGGATGCCCCGACGGCGCCCAAAAAGCGGCAGGCGGAAAAGTTCTTTGTCACATTTCCGTATCCGTATATGAATGGACGTTTGCACTTGGGCCACACATTCTCATTGTCGAAGGCAGAGTTTGCGGTACGATACCAGCGTCTTAAGGGCCGCCGTGTGCTGTGGCCCTTCGGATTCCATTGCACGGGTATGCCAATTAAGGCGTGCGCAGATAAGCTGGCCCGCGAGCTGGAAATGTTTGGTTATCCGCCCAATTTTCCGGACACGCAGGAAGCAGCGCCAGTCGTTGAGGAGACCCAGTCTGAGGTGCCCAAGGACAAGTCCAAGGGTAAGAAGAGCAAAGCCGTGGCTAAAACGGGTACTGCCAAATACCAATGGCAGATCATGCAAAGCCTGGGCCTGCAGGATGAGGAAATCAAGCAGTTTGCCAATGCTGAGCACTGGCTCAACTACTTTCCACCGCTGGCGGTGCAGGATCTGAAGCGCATCGGTGCCCATATCGACTGGCGTCGCACGTTCCTAACCACAGATGCCAATCCCTACTACGACTCATTTGTACGCTGGCAATTCAACCACTTGAAGCAGCGCGGCAAGATTATGTATGGCAAGCGCTATACAATCTATTCGCCCAAGGACGGTCAACCCTGCATGGATCATGATCGTTCCACCGGCGAAGGCGTCGGTCCGCAAGAATACACGCTTATCAAGATGAAGGTGCTGCAGACGCCCAAGGCTTTAAGGTATGAATCTATCTTCGACCATGAAAGCACGCAAGACAATAACTTTCATCCACAGTGCCATCAAGCAGCCCATTTACTTAGTGGCAGCGACTCTGCGTCCGGAGACCATGTACGGCCAAACCAATTGCTGGCTACATCCAGACATTAAGTATATTGCATGGCAGACAACGCGCAATAACGAGGTGTGGATAAGCACACATCGTGCCGCACGCAACATGGCCTATCAGGGATTTACCGCCGAAGAGGGCAATATCGTTGTGCTGGCCGAAGTGTCGGGCCTGGAGCTGTTGGGTGTGCCGCTGTCGGCACCGCTGACCAAGCACAAGACCATTTACACACTGCCCATGCTGAGCATCAAGGCCGACAAGGGAACGGGGGTGGTTACCTCCGTGCCATCGGATTCGCCCGATGACTATGCCGCGTTGGTGGACTTGCAGAAAAAAGAGGCGTTCCGTCAAAAGTACGGACTGAAGGATGAGATGGTGTTGCCCTATGAGCCCATACCCATCATCGAAGTGCCCACGCTGGGCAAGCTCGCTGCTGTGCATGCCTACGACACGCTGAAGATTCAGTCGCAGAATGACAAGGAAAAACTAGCCGAGGCCAAGGAGCTTTGCTATCTGAAGAGTAAGTATTCTTATTAAATGTTGATCAAAATCAATTGAAATAACAAAGATATAATATATAATAATAGATATAACCAATCTGTCATATATAGTTGCAAAAAAAATAGTCCACTTTATTTTTAATTTTTTACATATGTTTCAAAATATATAAAAATCGATCAATAATTAAAAACAAAAGGTATCAAGCTCTCGTATCCTACATATAACTAACATTGATACCCATATATTTCCCAAATAGTATTATATTAAAAATATATATTGTAATTATAATTATAATACAATATAAATCTCATCTATTGCATCTTATCTCAACAGGTTTCTATGATGGCGTTATGCTGGTAGGCGAGTTTGCGGGTCGTAAAATCCAGGATATAAAGAAAGATTTGCAAAAACGCATGATTGATGCCAAAGAGGCGGATATTTACTACGAACCTGAGAAGACCATCATGTCGCGCTCAGCGGATGAGTGCGTGGTGGCCCTATGCAACCAATGGTACCTCAACTATGGCGAACCCGTATGGCAGGCGCAGGCAACAAAGATACTGCAGGACATGGAAACGTTTCACGAGGAGGCACGCAACAACTTTGAGGGCTGCCTGAACTGGCTGCACGAGTACGCCTGCTCGCGCACCTACGGTCTGGGTACCAAGTTGCCCTGGGATGAGCAGTGGCTCATTGAATCCCTGTCGGACTCAACCATTTACATGGCCTTCTATACGGTCTGTCACTTGCTTCAAGGCGGCACATTCCGTGGGGAGAAACCAGGCCCATTCGGTAAGTGCGATTCTTAGAAACTTTAAGCCAATTTGATTACATTATTTGTGCGCTTTCCCTCCATAGGCATCACACCTGCCGACATGACTGCCGAGATCTGGGACTATATATTCTTCAAGGAGACGCCACTGCCTAAGAAAACAACCATCAAAAAGGAACACTTGGCTGTGCTGCGACGTGAGTTCGAGTACTGGTATCCAATGGATTTACGTGTGTCTGGCAAGGATTTGATACAGAACCATTTGACCTTCTGCCTGTACAATCATGCAGCCATATGGCCCAACGACGAGACCAAGTGGCCCAAGGGTATGCGCGTCAACGGTCACTTGCTGCTCAACTCGGCAAAAATGTCCAAGTCAGATGGCAATTTCCTGACGCTGCACGAGGCGATTGACAAGTTCTCGGCGGACGGCATGCGCCTGTGCCTTGCCGACGCTGGCGACAGCGTGGAGGATGCCAACTTTGTAGAGAGCACCGCGGATGCGGGCATTCTGCGTCTGTACACCTTCATTGAATGGGTCAAGGAGATGTTGGCCACGCGCACTAGCCTGCGTCACGATGCGACCAAAACCTTTAATGATCAGGTCTTCTTGAGCGAGCTCAACTTGAAGACACAGCAGACGGATGAGAACTATCGCCGTATGCTGTTCAAGGAGGCGCTGCGCAGTGGCTTCTATGAGCTGCAGCTTGCGCGTGACAAGTACCGCGAGCTGTGCGGCGCCCAGGGTATGCATGAGGATCTGGTCATGGAGTTTATACGACGACAGGCGCTGCTTGTGGCGCCAATTTGCCCGCATATGGCTGAGCATGTGTGGGGCCTGATGGGCAACAAGGAGTCCATTGTGCACGCCCGTTGGCCCGAGGTGGGCGCAATTAATGAGCTGGATATCATGTGCTCAGAGTATTTAATGGAGTCGGCGCACTCCTTCCGCCTTAACCTGAAAAATCTGCTGCAGGTCAGGGGCAAGGGCGGCAAAGAGAAGGCTCTGGATGCACAAACTGCAAAACCCAATCGCGGTCTGGTTTGGGTAGCGAAAACTTATCCACCTTGGCAATGTTGCGTGCTGGACACCATGCGTGAGCTATACAACAAGGAGACTAAAACGCTGCCCGATAACAAGATCATTGCGGCCACACTGCAGCAGAAGCCCGAGTTGAAAAAGTTCATGAAGCGCGTGATGCCCTTTGCACAAATGATACGCGAGAAGGTAGAAACGGGCGGTAAGGGCGTAGCTGCACTAGCTGTCACCCTGGAGTTCGATGAGCGACAGGTGCTGCTCAGCAATCTGGATTACCTTAAGAATACCTTGGATGTGAGTAGCTAAGCAGTTTCACTAGATTATTCTATTTATCTATCAATGCTTCTTATTCAGCTGGACAGCCTGGAAATAAAGTACACTGATGATCCCTCAGCACCGGAGAAGACGCGCGAGGAAGTGCGTCCCGGCTCGCCTTTCATTTTGTTCAGCGCTGCGCCGCATATCAGTGTTGAACTGGTCAATCCCACGGAACGCTCATCTCTGTTTCAGGTGAACACCATCATATCCGAGGGTGACACGGTGCAGTCACTGCGTGAGAAACTTGCCAAAATTATTGGCCTGAAAACAGACATTTCCGCGCTCCAAATTTGGCGCTATGAGGATCCTCTGTTGGGTCCGCGCAAGCTGCCCAGTTTCCAGGACTACAAGACTGGCAAGACACAGCTGAGCGAGGGCAACTTTGTGCTGGATGTGGCAGCAAAACGAGTGAGCGTTGATCAAGCTGGCAAACTGGCCGAGGTCGGACGCAATCTAATCTACGTGGTCGAGTAGAGAACATCTACGTTCTGGTCACGCGTCTTAATTTATAAATGATTTTGGAATTGGAACATTGTAAAACAGTTGTTGGCTATAAATGAATACCTTACTATACTATGTGCTTTAGTATACACCAAAATGCATTATGCGTAAATACTCTTGACCTAGTTAAATATATTTTAGGTCTATTGGGCATTAAATGTACTGCTGAATTAGAGTACATTGCCTGGCTTATAAGCCTTGAAAGAAATAGTAGATACTGATAAATATACTGCTTCACAGGATATTAAAATATAATCAATATATATACTTCTCCTGTTAGGCAGAGCTAGCCTTACGCTTAGTTAAAGCACGTCCCATAATAATTTTTTAGGCGCCATTTGTTTCTCAAAAAAACTTTAGTTTATTCCAAATCAATTTGACAACTGAAAAGAAATTAACCTAAAGTTTATTTAACTAAAGTTTATAAAGCATTTAATTATTGACAAAAATATACTTGAGTAAAAAAAGGTTAGACATAATGAAAAAGAGTGGAATAAAAATATTGTGTGCAGTGTGTAAGAATTCAAGAAAATAATTGCTTTGTTGACTAGACGTGAATTAAATTTCTATTAATATTTATTTACTTATTTATAAACTAATTTAAAATTTGTTTTGATATATCTGTGCGTGTGAGTGTATCTACACTTCGTTAGGTTAAGGCGCGCCTTCTTCCCCAACTATTAGTATGCTGTTTGTGGGGCGTGTGAGATAGCGTCTCAGTGGGTTGTTTGGGCTCAGTGGGTGGGTATCGGCTAATGCAGCCCATTCAGGGTCTGGGCCGGGCCTATAAAAGCCGAGGGTTTTTTTCAAAGCCACACTTACAATGTTGTTGGCAAAATTTGTGATTCTTCTAGTGCTGCAGGCTGCCGTGGTAGTTGTGGTCGGCGTCTGCCTAATACCCGAGCCTGTGAAGCGGCAACGGTCGCTGGTGGATGAGCTCTGGAGCAGGCGACCGCGGCTTGATGGCCGCATTGTGGGCGGCCGACGCATAAACATAACGGATGCACCCCATCAAATTTCGTTGCAAACATCGGCTCACATCTGCGGCGGCTCGTTGATCTCCGAACAGTGGATACTAACGGCGGCGCATTGCACCGAGTGAGTAGCACAGACAGCTTTTCGCCGGTGGGAGCTCTTGATTAAGTCTCATTCTGACATTTACAGGGGCAAAACTGCGGATCGGCTGCGCGTGCGATTGGGCAGCTCGGAATTCTCGCGGCATGGGCAGCTGTTGCACGTGCAGAAGATTGTGCAACACGAAAAGTTCAATTTCACGAATGTGGACTACGATTTCTCGCTGCTGCAGCTGCGGGAACCGATCGAATTTGATGATACCAAAAAGGCCATCAAGCTGCCGGAACCGGAGCAAATGTTTGCGGACGGTGATCCGTGCTTTGTCAGCGGCTGGGGCAACACACAGAATCTGCTGGAGCCACGTGAGTGGCTGCGCCAGGTGCAGGTGCCGCTGGTCAATCAGCAGCTCTGCAGCGACAAGTACAAGCAATACGGCGGCATTACGGAGCGCATGATCTGTGCGGGCTACATGGCGGGCGGCAAGGATGCTTGCCAGGGCGACTCCGGTGGTCCCATGGTCAACGAGGCGGGCGTTCTTGTGGGCGTCGTATCCTGGGGCTATGGCTGCGCCAAGCCCGACTATCCCGGCGTCTACTCCAGAGTGGCCCAGGCGCGTAACTGGATCAAGGAGCACACTGGCATCTAGCTAGCGCATTATCTTAATAAATAAGCAACAACAACAGCAACCATACCAAATCCTCCTCACTCATGTTTTCGTTTCAGCATCGGCACGCGCTCTCGAATTGCCAAACACGCGACCTTATTGCGTTGCTCACATTATGGCCACGCATGTCAACAGCTTGACATGAGTTTTCTTTATTTTTTTCTTTTTTATATGCCACATAAATACCACCCACTCTTCGCGACCCACGTGTAGCACTCATGTGCAGAGGTCTTTAGAATCTGTTGAGAAGTTTTCGAGTCTGGGGGATGTCTGGTAGGTCCCTCAATATAAGAGGCCGCCTAGTCTCCCGCTGTTTTGGTAAGCCCTTTCCCCACCACATGGACGTTTAGACAATCAATATTACGCATACGACAGCGCGAACAGCTTTAAGTTGTCTGTTGTTCGTTGTTGTGTTCGACTCTTGCAGCAATTTTTTTATGGAAATATAAAAATTTGATTGCTGTTTATTGCTTTATTTTTCGTTTGCTTCCTGTCAACCATAATCATATTTTGTGTTTTATGCATTTATATAAGAAATTTCATTTAAAAATATCCCATCAAGTTTCCTTTCTGTATTTCCATAACCAACCTTAACATTATAAGCAAAATTCTAGCAATCAAATTAAAGTTTATATAAATACTTTATGTATTGATGGCTCTGGCGACCTTTCCATATTTCAATATTTATTTGTTGGCTGGCTCGAGGTCCGTGTTTGTTAAAACAAACAATGAAAAACAATTTTATTCAATTCTCTTCCGATATATTTCGGTTGCACATCGGCAAACCGTCTTCAGAGCCATCAATAAATATCAACGGAAGGCACGCCGTATGCACAGCAACCAACATGAGCTACGCAAAAATAAAAACTAAATACAAGGATTCGAAAAGAACAATTAATAAATTCCAACTAACACTGGTAAAATTAACTAAACTTAAATCTAGTTTAAAATTTTTGTTAAAATGTAGAAAATCAAATTTAATACCTAACTTCATCAAAAACTTGACACAGCATTTGACCATACTGACCACTGACAATAAAACCCACCCTGACATAACAAGAACATTGACTAGACACACACATTTTTACCATACCAAAATATTAAACTTACTTATAAAACACAAACACAACCTATTACAAGAACAAACAAAACATATGGAAAAAGCAAAAACAAACATAGAACAACTGATGACCACAGATGACGCAAAAGCGTTTTTTGAGAGCGAGAGAAATATAGAAAACAAAATAACAACAACACTCAAGAAAAGACAAGAAACGAAACACGATAAGTTACGAGATCAACGGAACCTAGCCTTAGCGGATAACAACACGCAAAGAGAGTGGTTTGTAAACAAAACAAAAATAGAATTCCCGCCAAACGTCGTAGCGTTACTCGCAAAAGGGCCGAAGTTCGCTCTCCCAATCAGCAAGAGAGATTTTCCTCTCTTGAAATACATCGCAGACGGTGAGGAGCTAGTGCAAACAATAAAAGAAAAGGAAACACAAGAGTCGGCGCGCACAAAATTCTCTTTGTTAGTCAAAGAGCATAAAACCAAGAACAACCAAAACAGTAGGGATCGAGCAATACTGGACACAGTGGAACAGACACGAAAATTACTGAAAGAAAATATAAATATTAAAATTCTATCGTCGGATAAGGGCAACAAAACCGTAGCAATGGATGAGGATGAATATAAAAATAAAATGACAAATATTTTAGACGACTTATGCGCGTATAGAACATTGAGACTGGATCCGACATCAAGACTACAGACAAAGAATAACACCTTCGTAGCACAATTATTCAAGATGGGTCTTATTTCAAAGGACGAAAGAAATAAGATGACTACAACAACAGCGGTACCTCCGAGGATATATGGACTACCAAAAATACACAAGGAAGGAACTCCACTGAGACCAATATGTTCTTCCATAGGATCTCCATCTTACGGGCTGTGCAAATATATAATACAAATATTAAAAAATCTGACAATGGACTCTAGGTACAACATCAAGAACGCGGTAGATTTTAAAGACAGAGTCAACAACTCCCAGATTAGAGAAGAGGAAACATTAGTATCTTTTGACGTAGTATCCTTATTTCCCAGCATACCAATAGAATTAGCACTTGACACAATAAGACAAAAATGGACCAAATTAGAAGAGCACACGAATATACCGAAACAACTATTTATGGACATAGTTAGATTTTGCATACAGGAAAACAGATATTTCAAATACGAAGACAAAATATACACACAACTTAAGGGAATGCCAATGGGATCACCGGCTTCCCCAGTAATCGCAGATATATTAATGGAGGAACTGTTGGACAAGATTACAGATAAATTAAAAATAAAACCAAGACTCTTGACCAAATATGTAGATGACCTTTTTGCCATAACGAACAAAATAGACGTGGAAAATATTCTAAAAGAATTGAATTCCTTCCACAAACAGATAAAATTTACAATGGAATTAGAAAAGGACGGGAAATTACCATTTTTAGACTCTATTGTAAGCAGAATGGACAACACACTCAAAATAAAGTGGTATAGGAAACCCATAGCCTCCGGACGAATACTCAACTTCAATTCAAACCACCCAAAGAGTATGATAATCAATACAGCACTAGGCTGTATGAATAGAATGATGAAAATATCGGACACAATATACCACAAAGAAATTGAACATGAAATCAAAGAACTTTTGACCAAAAATGACTTCCCCCCAAATATAATCAAAACATTATTAAAAAGACGACAAATCGAAAGAAAAAAGCCAACAGAACCTGCTAAAATATACAAATCACTAATATATGTACCACGACTATCAGAACGCCTCACAAACTCAGACTGTTATAACAAACAAGATATAAAAGTAGCACACAAACCGACGAATACATTACAAAAATTCTTCAACAAGATAAAGTCGAAAATCCCGATGATCGAAAAAAGCAACGTCGTTTACCAAATACCATGTGGCGGGGATAACAACAACAAGTGCAATAGTGTCTACATAGGTACAACAAAATCGAAGCTAAAAACAAGGATTAGTCAACATAAATCGGACTTCAAACTAAGACATCAAAATAATATACAGAAAACAGCACTTATGACCCATTGTATAAGAAGCAACCACACACCAAATTTTGATGAAACAACAATCTTACAACAAGAACAACACTATAACAAGCGACACACATTGGAAATGCTACACATAATTAACACACCAACCTACAAACGACTAAACTACAAGACAGACACAGAAAATTGCGCTCACTTGTACAGACACCTCTTAAACAGTCAAACAACCTCAGTAACAATCTCCACGTCAAAAAGCGCAGACGTGTAAAATAATGTATGTAAAATGTTCGAAATAATGTTTAATTTATTGTATTATAATTGTTAATTGTTTTTTGTATCTTGGTGTTAGTGCCCTGAAGACGGTTTGCCGATGTGCAACCGAAATATATCGGAAGAGAATTGAATAAAATTGTTTTTCATTGTTTGTTTTAACAAACACGGACCTCGAGCCAGCCAACAAATAAATATTTAAATACTTTATGGATAATTGTATAAATTATTATTATAAATGCTTCATAATAAGTCCTGTCACACGTTGATCTATTCGCGAATAACACTTTTAGCTGCTATTTGAATGATATTGAAAGCTTTACGTGTTTACGATATCTCGCGCCCTGAACTTGATAATGATCACACAAACACACGCACACACACACACACCGACACACACTCCTGCACGTATAGAGATATATACATGTAAGCTAAAGTCGTTAGGTAACGATTCTATGCAAACAAATCGCATTGTAAGTATTTTTTGCATGCAACCGGAGATGCACATACATATGTACATATATGTTACATATACAAACGTCGATCGTTTGTCTGTGCTGTTTGCGATTGCGATTATGTGTCCGATCTGGGCTTGTCATTAGTTCTATTGCAGTCGCGTAGAGCTGACGTGCTCGGAGCTCGCGATAGCTCGCTGATCAGCCGGACGACGTGATCTAAGTTTTCTACATTTGCACATTGCGCATACGCCGCGTTAATTGACCAACTGTTGACTGGATGTTGTGTAAAAGTAGCCCAAAGGCAATAGTGTTAGGCAACAAGTGACAATAGGCAATGTTGTTGTGTGCGTGGGTGCAACCACGAACAGCCTCACCAACACCAAGAATCAATAGAGAGAGCATAGCAGACAGCAAATACAGCGTAGGCACTTTAATTGTTTAACGGTTTGCTATTTTATTGATTGCGGTTGCTGTGCACTCACACACATACACACAAGCAGAGAGACACAAGCAGACACACACATATACACACACGCGCAGACAGTGCCACACAGACACACAAACGTGCCGCACGTTGCTGCTACACGTGAGCGGCTCGAGCCCCCAAGCAGAGCGTGAGCGCGAGTGAGAAGCAAACATTTAGAACAGCAAAGCTTTGGCGCACACAGACACACGAACACACGCACACAGCCAGCGGCCGGCACAACGGCAACTTGTGGCCGCAGCTTTTACGTCTCATGCGAGTGCAATGTGAATGCGAACGGGCGCGTGGCCGTGTGTGTGTGTGGAAGCTTCGGTTCGCTGCATTTGGAGACGACAACTGGAGCCCAATGCAAATACTTTGAGCATTCAACATTGTTCGCTTCAGGCAAACGGTTCGTGTTCTCGCGTCTTGCTAAAATTTCTAGAATAAATACAAACACTTGAGACTTAACAAAAAACAAAATATATATGAAATATATTAAACATAATTTGATATATTATTGTTTAATATATTCAACCAATTGAGCTTGTGGTATGTGTAACTCTTGAATAATCATTAAAATTAAATATTTGCGGCAACTAAATACAGTTGTTGTTGTAAATATTTTTGTGCTTGTTTTGATGCCAGTGAAAAATTAGTTTTTTTTTTTTTTTTATTTCACTTAACAATCAATGTGCAATTGTTTTGTAGTTTATTGTTGTTGTTCTTTTTGCATTTTACGTAAG